GTGTAGTTCAGTGGATGGAGTGCCAGACTGCAAAGCAAAGGGTTGCTGGTTCGATTCCCAGCCAGGACACATGTCTGGGTTATGGGCCAGGTCCCCAGTAGGGGGCTTGTGAGAGGCAACCACACATTGATGCTTTTCTCCCTCTCTTTCTCCCTCCCTTCCCCTCTCTCTAAAAATAAATAAATAAAATCTTTAAAAAAAATAAAAATCATTTTTTAAAAAGAAAAGAAACAGGCAGATGACCTTAGTATGAGATATAATCTGACTTTGACAATTAATGGCCAACCCCTCCCCCCAAAACAAAAGTGTTCTTTCCTTCCTGCAGCCTTTCCCAAAGGGGTCCCTGCAGTTGTGCCTCCCAGGGGACTCATAGGTGTGATATCTCTCTACTCTGAATGCTGCCAATAAAAGAATGCTGCAAAGAAGTCAACATTTCATCAAAAATTCAAACCATACCTTTAAGTGTTCATAGAACTATACAAATTAGACGCTTTTTCTTGATTTTAAAAAAAGAAAAGGTCCTACCTCCTGCGGACACTGGAACTGGGTTACTGAGGTCTGTCTCTTCACTCAGCCATGCACTAGCTGGGTGACCCTGGCCCAGAGACTTGATTTCCCTGTGCTCTGGGCCCCTCGTCTGTGAGGGGGTGTTGATCGTGTCTTCCTCGTGGGTTTCGCGGAACTCAGAGGGGCTGTTTGTTTCTGCAAAGGGCTTACAGGGCGCCTGCCTGTGCTTGGGAGGCCCTGGCTGCGGTGTCAGAGTTGCTTCAAGGAGCAGTGAAATAATGCAGGGTGACTGCTCGGAACAGAAGGAGTTCCCGCAACAACCAGCCGTCCACCTCTTGCTATCCAGCTGTGCGTGACCTTGGGTAAGTCACAACATGTTCTGGGCTCCTGCTGTCCTCCTTTATGAAATGAGGTCTCTGGTGTGGACTGTCTGCCCACCCCCATGCGTGCATCTTCCTGGCCCACCTCCGCCCCCGGCACCACCCCCATCCCTACCCCAGCTCATTGCTGCTGCTGATAGGGGAGCTGCCACTTCCTTCCTCTCCCTTTGCTCGGCCTCAGCCGAGGGGCCCAGATCCGGGTGCCTTCCCCAGAGCGGCAGAGGGGCAGAGAACAGTTTTCCTTCCAGTCCTGTTCGGGAGTGGGTGTGCAGAGTAGAGAGTCTGAGCTGCCAGAGACACGTTTCATGTCACAAGGAGGCAGTCACTCTGTCCAGAAAAGATGGGGAGACTGCGAGACTCCAGTCCAGTTCTCACTGTGCCCGAGGCCCTGTCTTCCCCGTCAGTCACTTCACCCTTGGAGGTAATAACAGCAACCAGAACAATGGCAGTCAGTGGCTGTACAATCTGTGCTATGAGCCAGGTGCTATTCTGAGAACTGTGCATACTTTAACAGTTTTATTCTTCATAGCAGCCCGGCAGTATCATCACCCCCTTTTACAGATGGGGAAACTGAGGCACACTGAATCACCTGGGCAAGGTCACACACTGGCAAGGGTCAGAGCCAGGACTTGAACTCCATCAGCCCAGCCCCAAAGGGACGCCCCTGGCCGGTCCTTCGCCCTGCCCTTCCATGCAGCCCTATTTGTCCAGCAGGATGGACCTGGGATCTGTCACCACCACCCGCAGAGTGGATGCACAGCCCCCACGCCCCTTCAGTCCCAGGCTGGCCTCTCAACCCGGAAGAGCCTGGGCAGGCTTTCCCGAGTGTCTGCTGTTTTCACACTCTCGTCTCACTTGGTCCTGTGGAAAGCATGGCGGGTGCTATTCCCCATTCTGTCGTGGTGGACACCAAGGCCATTGCTGACACCCAGCTCCAAGCCCAGTGCTCTCTCATCCCTTCCCTGGACTGCTGCACCCCTGCTGAGACCACAGCTCAGGTGAGAAGCACCATTACTGGTTTCCAAACCAGTCAGATCCAAGGAAGGGCTGTGGCCCTGCTCTAGGCTCAAAGCTAGGAACACAACCACTTCCAAGACGGGCCCTGTGCCCTTACCTCACTGCCTGAGACCACCTGCTCAACTGTGTGGCCCGTCTGCACACTGGGGACCCGGGGCAGGGACACAACAAGAGGGCAAGCAGTCAGGGCAGGGCAGAGGCTCCACCAGGAAGGGGGCTCCCAGGCCCATCCCTGCAGGGGCAGAGCCCACTGGAGTCCGCAGGCCCTGGTTCAAACCCCCACTGGAATGTGAGTGCATTGCAGGCAGGGCCCCGCTCTGGGCCGCTCCTCTCCATGCCTCGGACAGAGGGCAGGCGGCACATGTCCCAATCCAGGCATAACTTTGTATGTAAGCAGAAGGCAAAAGCACTGCCGATTAAGTGATACAGTGCTCTCATCTTTCCATTCAAACTTATTAAAAACCTCTTTCAGGCTGGTTTGGACAGGCTGTTAACATAAGTGTTAACCATGTACCGTTCTGCACATACATCAAAAGACAACATCTGTGAAATGAGTGGGATAAGGAGGTATTTCCTAGGTTGTCACTTTTGGATCCAAGTCACTTTCCATGCAGAGGCGCTGGTGTCCGAGTTTTTCTGAATCCCCGGGGGCTCTGTCAATACAGGATGTCCAGGAAGACGGTTCCCCTGCTGTTCCTGGAAGCTGCCACCCAGTTGCTTACGCCCAGCCTGTGCTTGTCAACGGGCTCCTGGGCAGGCGCCGACACTGCCTCCTGCTGGCGTGACTGGCCCGTCCCAGCTCCAGGGGTGTGGGCAGTGAAAAGTGTGCACCTCGGATGGATGCACCAAGAAAAGGTGGTTAGTGCTTGGTAAATGATTGACAGAATGAAGGTATGAATGCAGAAATGACTAGGTGATGAGTGGGAATGTTGATTAACTGCCCTGAACCTAAGAGAAAAATGTTCCGTGGAACTTACTAATGGATGGAGTTATAGAAATTACTTAGGCTTCACCCAGAGGTTCTCAGCCGGGGCAGCTGTGCCCCCAGAAGACGCTTGTGCCAAGATAATGATGACAATGAATTATACCTATGCGCACTGAGTACCTACCATATTTCTATCATCTCACATAATCCTCCCCAGCAACTCTGAAAGGCAGCTACACTTTTTTTAAGATTTTATTTATTTATTTTTAGAGAGGGAAGGGAGGGAGAAAGAGAGAGAGAGAGAAACATCAATGTGCAGTTGCTGGGGGTCATGGCCTGCAACCCAGGCATGTACCCTGACTGGGAATCGAATCTGTGACGCTTTGGTTCGCAGCCCGCCATGCTCAATCCACTGAGCTACGCCAGCTAGGGAAAGGCAGCTACTCTTATCATACCCATTTCACAGAGGAGAAAACTGAGGCTCAGACAAGGTAAGCACCTTGCTCAGGACTGGAACCCAGGTTGAGCAGTCTCTGCTCTCCCTGCCCCATCTCAGGGGCAGCCCACAGAAGTGGGGGCGAGCTTAGCCTGGTCCCCAGAGCCGTATGCAGGACGGCACACTAGCAGTGTCCCCTCCCAGGCGTCAGTGACCTGAGGGATGTGCTTCGATGGGCCAGAGCTAGCAGAATAGCTGGGTCTCTGCAGCCCGAGCTGCGGGTAGGACGGACCTGGCTGGAATCCCGACCCCAGCACTTATTGGCCATGTGACTTTGGGTGAGTCCTTTCAGATTTCTGACACTCACTCGGTTTTCTCAACTTAGACCCCCATGGGGAGGGCAGGGCACACTCAGGTCTCTGCTGGCTGTAAATGTGTCCACTGTGCGTGGCCAGCCATGGCGGGGGCAGTCCCTCAAACCCGTGGGCCTCAGCCCTGGTGAGCCTTGCTACTTGTTAGAACCCACTCTCGGCCAGGAGCTACAGCCAACTCCAGACCCAGGTCCCTTCTAGACCAGTGAGATTGACCCTCCAAGGACATGTGGGGCACTGGGCATTTCATGGGTCACCCAAGCCTTGACCCCACTGAAATTACAGGCACAAATTCCACAGTGCGGCTGGTGCGTGGAATGAACAGACATAAAGCCCACTCTCTGAAGGACAAAGCCTCCCCCGGGCATGGTGACAGATGCCCACTTTATGCACCTTTTACAGGAATCCCCTGTGACTCATGTTCCACAAAGAAAACAGTAAGACTTCCCGAGCAGTGTGAGCGCACTGACGCTCAGAAGTGGCGCGCACACAGGGCCGCCGACGTCCGCTTTAAACCGGGCTTGGCGTGCCTTCCCAGAGAGTGTGGACGGTGTGGGGAAGAGTGTGCGCATGGTTGGGGGGAGGTGCGGGGCACAGCGGACGGGAGAGTGCTTGTTTTTAAAATATGGGTGCTCAGGTGCTGTCTCCACATTTGAAATTGAAAAGCTGGAATCCTGCCAAACAGTTAATGAATACCAGTCACCATGGCCCTTTTTGAAAGCGGGCTATGGGGGGGATTGAGGCGGTTCCCCCACAAACCTAGGCAGGTGTGCAGGAGATGGGCCGCCCCGGCACCGACAGCCCTCCCCGAGGGCAGCCCTTCCCCAGCACGGAGGATGCCAGAAGCCTGAGACATACCTGGCGCCCCTTCTGCCCAATGGGACGACCATACAGGCCATTTGCAGAGTGAACGTGCAGGCCGCTGACTTCCTCCACAGCTGCTGAGAATCTCATTGTATCAAGCACAGAGCCCTTCTGGGTGACCGCACAGGCTCCTGCCCCTGGGGCTGGCCCTGGTGGGACTCAGGCTGCCTCTAGGACTCCCATCCCACCCTGGGGTTGGCACCAAAGCTACCCTCTGCAGAACCTTGGCACCTCACCTTGTCTGACCCTCTCCCCTCCTGTCCCACTTCTCCGCCTGCTGCCAGTCTCTCCCAGGGACTGTCCCAGTACTTGACTCTCGCTACGCCCTCCTCCCAGGGTCTGCTTCTGAGGGCTCTGAACGAAAACAGTTCACAGGGGGCCGGGAAGCAGAGCTGAGCTGAGACCCCAGCATCGCCCACCCTCCCTTTCACCCTCAAGAGTCAGCGGCTTCAGCACACCCGATTGAAGATCATCAGGTGGTAAAAACGACGAGTCACACGTGAATGGGTAAGTTCATTTTTATTTTATAAGGAGCGAATACATTTTGAGAGTATGGGTATATTTTGAGGCTCTGGGAGGGATGGGTAGACGCCTCCCATGGTCAGACCTATAAATAACAAAGCTGTAAATAACCAGACATGGAACTCCGGGTTAGGAAGGAGCTCTGGACTTGCTCGCCAGGCAGTGGCTTCTTCCCAGGGTCTCATCTGCAGAGCTGCAGGGTCCCAGGAGACCCTGGGCATTTCCTCGATGATGAAACAAGACCCAACGATGGCCGGTGGCTTCCACAAAGTCACCCAGCCGCCCTGGGGTTGGGCGCCAGGTGTCCTGTCCAATGGCATCTCTAGGGTCGTGCTCTGCTGAGCTGGTGAAAGCATTTTCAACAACTGTTTTCAAGTCTCGGAAGCATGTGAGGAACGTTCTTGCAGATCAGCTGAGAGGGAAGTGGAGAAGAGATGACTATGAGCCCTGCCTGGGCAGGACAGGGAGCCACACTGCTGTGTCACCCCTTCCCCCGCCCCACCAGGCACCAGAAAGACGCCAGTTTCTGCTAAGACTAAATTCTTAACTCACTGCAAAGTCTCGACGGGCACCATCTTATTTAGTTCCTAACAAATCCCTCCCATCGTTTCCACTTTATAGGTGAGGAAACTGAGGCTGGGGAGTTGAGTCATTTGCCTATGTCACATGGTAGGGGAGCAAGAACTTAAAGCCAGGTCTGGCCAGCTCCTAAAAGCCATCCTGCACTGCCTCCCATGGGCCCCCAGCACAATCCTGTGATGGCTCAGACCCACTGTAAGGACTGTCCCTGTCATCAGCAGGTAATAGCCATATGCTGCCATCAATCCCCACTGGCCCTCCATTTTTCAGGAGGTCTCACACCTGAATATTCTAGAATCTGAAATCTGATGTTAGCTCATTAAGGGCATCCTGGCCTTGCTTTCAAGGGCTTTGGTTCCCCAAGGGTTGACTTTCAGCTTTCACAGGGGAGGGTGGGAATTTGGTTTTACCTGCGAAGACCCCTGCAGTTGCTGCAATCCTACAGCCTTTCTGTCCACCTGCTTGCACCTCACCTTGGAGAGCATCTGAGAGCAGAGCCCGTGCCTCACCCACAACCTCTTCGGGTGCCGGCCTCCCCAGCCACCCTTCTGTTCCCACCACAGTGGCTTCCCTGCGGTTCCTCCAAGCCAAGACAACTCCCGCACCAGGAGGTCTCTTAGTCCGGCTCCTGTTGCCTGTGTGCCTGTTCTCCAGGTCTTCCGACGGCAGCACCTCCTCATCTCAGATCCTGGCTCAGATGTCAACCCCTCACCCCAGCCTCCTGTGACCTCCATCTGACTCAGCTCCCGGCCCATGCGGTTACCGGGCACCGCATCACCTGCTGTTCCCTTCACAGTTCTCGCTGCACTCGGTCACTTCCTGGCTGGCTTACCTGTTGCCTTGTTTGGTCTTCTACTAAAGGACGTAGGATATGCAAACCCCATGGCAGCAGGACCCCTGTCTGCTCTATTCACTGCCTTGCCCCCAGCACAACTCGGGCTTGCTGTAGATGCCGTGGATGACTGCTGAGCATCTGAGTGCCTGGCACGTACCTATCACCGAGCTGGTGCTCAGTAGTGTCATGTGACAGAGGGGGGGACAGACTTCGTGGGAGAGTGGACGACTTGTCTGCCCTTTCATGGATGCATTGGGACAAAGGAATGGGAAGGAGATGGGAAGGTAAGTTGTGACCTAGTCAAGTCTTTGGATTTAGGTCTAGTGGGTATAGAAACTTCCACTTCTGACATCACAGAAAGGGCTCCAACATTCACTCTGAATTTACAAGGGAGTTTAAAATGTGGCCTACAGGTAAAGGCCCCCTCTCAGCCTCCCACCGGTCTGCTCCTTGATTAAAGATACCCAGGATGCCTGGCTGCACAAGTCACCCTTGCCGTTGATGCAGCGCTCCTCCCACTTACCTGCTGTCACTGCTTTATTGTACGTGCCTCCGTTGTCCTTTTCCATGCTCCCCCACGATCTTGTAGTTGCCCTCTGCAAGGAGAACGGGGCTGCGCTGGGGGCAGGTGCTCAAAGACTCACCAGCTACTGCTAAGTCCAAACACCTTAGCCTGGCCCTGTCTCCCCTTCTCCCACAAGTGAGGTCGCCCAGCCCCTACCCACGGTCTCTCCCCTCCTCTTACCATGCTCCACCATTTCTGGGTTCTGGCCCTGCCCACAGTTCTGGCTTCACCTCCTGGCCTCTCCCCCTCACTTGCTAGACACACTACCTGCAGGGATGGCTTAGTTGCTTCCAACCTCAGGATTCTCACACTTGCTGTTGCTAAAAAGCCATGGGGGCTTATTGTTTGAATTTGCTGTTTGATATTAACTACATGATGGCGGGGAATGGGTCTGCCAGGTTCACAGATGTAGCCCTAACCTCCAGCACAGGATGAGGAATAGAATGAAGAATGAAGAAGCACGGAATGCTTGATAAATGTTTAATCAAGACATGATAGATGGATCGAATGATTAAATGAATTATTGAATGAATACATGGATGAATGAATGGATGGATAGATGGGTGGATGCATAATTGGGTAAGTTATTAAATGAATGGATGATTGAATTACTGGGTGGTTGGATCAACGGATAATTGAGTGAGATGACGGTGCAGCCCTATTTTTAAATTCTGTGAATGAAAGTAGGAGGGACTTAAACATCTCCAGCCTCAGACTCTGAGGTCTGGCACGAATCCATGTTTGCTGCGTCCTCCTCTCGCTGCGCACCTCCCTGGCCCGCTGTCAGACAGCAGGGCTTCCACATTAGGCACCAAGTCTAGTCTCTGTTTCGTCTCCAATGAGACACCCCTGAGCTGCTGCCTCAGTCCCCGTCTCAGCCACCTGACTAGATGCCCCCCAACCTCCCAGCCTGTAGCCCAAAATGGCCCCTGTCCTGCCAGGTGCCACTCGGAGGGCTGCCCAGGTAGGAGGAGAGAGTCTCACAACAGGAGCGTCTCGGCACCCCACCACCTCGACCCCGGCGTGCCATCTGGTGGCACAGAGGCGGCCAGGGAGAGTGCGGCCACGTCCCTTAGCGGCTTCACAGTACCGTTCTCACAGTTGTCCATGAGATTTTATTTTTCTTTTTCACCCAAGAAATGCTCGATGTCCTTTTTAGGACTCTGTGTAAAGAAAGAATGTTTTCATCTCTTACCTGGATGTTCTTTCTTATCTCTGTGGTTTAGGAATGGCTTTTCTGGGAAAAAACAAAGAGAGAGAGGATTAAATGCCTTTCAGGAATTTTATAAGGCCCAAACTAAAGAATTATTTGTTTTTCTTTCTTTCCTTTTTTAAAAAAGATTTTATTTATTTATTTTTAGAGAGAAGGGAAGGGAGACAGAGAAACATCAATGTGTGGTTGCCTCTCACGTGACCCCTACTGGGGACCTGGCCTGCAACCCAGGCATGTGCCCTGACTGGGAATTGAACTGGCAAACCTTTGGTTCACAAGCCACACTCAATCCACTGAGCTACATCAGCCAGGGATGTTTGTGTTTGTCATTCTCATTCTATCAAGAGTTACAGTAGACTTTTCCCAGAGGCTCCATGACTTTGATATCACAGCCGATCCAACACAGAAGCAGGTGAGAGAATCCAGTTCTCTCCTCTTAATTCATTCACAGAATTATAAAAATGTGACACCATACCACTCTTCTCACTATTTTTTTTTGTATTGAAAAATAGTTATTTTTAAGAAAAATGCTATTTCTGTTTACTACATAATGAATTTATCATTGTCATTTTGATGAATTAATATATAAATATTTTAGTGTCTCAGCTTTAGTTTCTAATATGGTAAATATCACAGCCACACACAGAAGAGCTCTATGGGGTCCTCAATATCTTTTTAGCATGAAGGGGTCCTGAGACCAAACAGTTCGGGATCTACTATATTCTCAGATGAACTGGAAACAATTTCAGCATATCGTTCAGCAAATGCCATTACAAAATATGTTCACATGGGGAGTAAAAGGCTTTTATTTTTAAGAGAGAAGGGAAGGGAGGGGGAAAGAGCGGGAGAGTAAAATCAACATGAGAGAGAAACATTGAGACACATCTATCAGTTGCCCCGGCTGGGGACCGAACCTACAACCCAGGCACATGTCCTACCAGGGAATCAAACCAGCAATCTTTCCCTTTGCAGGATGCCACCCAACCAACTGAGTCACATCAATCAAGGGTATTTTGGGGAGAGAGTCCTTTCAAAAGTTATGCAGCCATGTCGTCACTGCAAACAACAAGTAACTGGAGAATGAATCTTCCCTCAACTGCTTTGCTGATTCCTTAATTTTTTCATCTGGAAGTGGACAAAAAGTCAGTATCTCTTAAGATATTGTGAGGATTAAAACAAATAATCTCATTCACCACACATGTACACAAATATTAAGAGGAACCGTAGGAAATTGCCATTTTTGTGTCTAAAAAGTGGTCGACTCTTGGTGATTTCATATGTCTCAATTTCTTCTCCCTGTTGATTGTCATTAACCCCACCTCTTCGCTCAGCCCCTCCCCGCTCCCCAGCACTAGAACATTTGCGGGAGAGCAGAATCTGGCCAGAACACGATGTCTCATGCAGCAATGCCTACGTCGGGTCACTCACTCCTCCCCGTCAGTACATTGGCCTTGCTTGGTAGCTGCAGGGTTAAACAATCACATTTATGCACCTGAACTCGTATTGTGTTATATGTCAGTTATATCTCAATTAAAAATCACCCTGTGCACAGCTGGGCATGTTGCTTCCTTTTGTTCTGGAGCCACCCTAAATGTCACCCGGGCGTCCAGGACCAGCACTGACGCTCACTGCACAAGGCGGCGGAGGCCAAGGGGGCAACAGGCCAAGTTTTAGCATTTTTTTCCAGGCCGGAGACTGAAATATTCCCGCTCCCCCCCTCTCCTTGGGGGTGAGTTTCAGCCCATAACGCCAGCTCAAGGCTATGTAATCTTCCTTTATTCTTCTCATGACACAGACGGCCACGTCACTTGTCAGAGGTGAGCATGGGGCCCCACCTCCCACATCTCAGCCTTGGCTGCTCAGCCTCTGAGTGACTTGAACCCCTCGGAAAAATGCACCGGTTCCCTGCCCCTGCTCTCCAAAAGGTCAGGCTGACTGCACAGGTCAGTGTTCACTCTCCTCAGAGAAAGACTCGGCCCCTCGGAAGCCGGGCTCCAGGCTGACGGGCTGCGAAACCTACATGGGCATCAGCCCGCTCTGGAAGTCACCTCTCAGAGGAGACTGGCATCTTAGGTGTGGGCACAAGATCCGCAACTGATGCTCAAACAGTCCTCAGAAATAAACGTGGGGCTTTATATGGAGTGAGAATGGGGGTGGGGTGGGGAGAGGGAAACAGTGATAAAGCAAATGTGGCAATATTTTAACAATTGGTGAATGGGGTGGAGGGTCCGAGGCACTAGAGGGTGAGCCAGAGTAGGTTTCCAGGTGTGAGTACGTGAGACCGAGTTCAGTCTTGCATCATTATTAATGTATTAATGCCTTATTTCCCATAGGAACAACTGTAAACCTACTTTTGCCCCACCCTGTATGCTTTTCACTTTTCTGTTTGTCTAAAATTACTTAAAGTGTGTGGTTTAAAAAACACTTAGAGAAAAGGCCTCTTCCTGGTTTACCCAGGTCAAGAGTGCCCCACTCCTCCCCGAGACCTTTGTTTCAAGAAGCCGTTGGAATTCAGGGTATTTCCGAACTCCCTATAAGTACCAACAACTCTTGCTGAGTGACAGCCCCCAGGCCTGGGGCCAAGACTAGAAATGTCATTTACATTCTGTCTGCAAGGCCCAGATGTTCCTGTGAGAGGGGCGAACACACACACACACACACACACACACACACACACACACACAAACACGGGCTTTGGAGCAGGTGGACAGGCTCGAAAATCCCACTCTGCTCCCTGCTAACTGTGTGCACCCTCTGGGCCAGGTCTTAAAATCATGCCCCCCTTTCTGTGAGACAGAGAGAGAGCAGCGTGTGTTCCCTGAGGACCTATTATGTGTCAAGCACTGCTCTAAGTGCCTTACAAGTGCTCTCTCTTTCAAGCCTTGTAACTACCCCATGCAGCAGTTACTACCATGACCATCACCAGCTCCTTTTACAGATGAATAAACTGAGATGAATAAATAAGAAAGGTTAAGCTGCCTGCCCAAAGACACCAGGGAAGAAAGCCGTAGGATTTGAACCCCTTTCAGTGGTTCTGTGCCTGTACTTTTGACTGTGACACTGCCTTCTGGTTATACTTTCCTTCTTACAGGCTTGTGACAAAGCCTAAAGGCAGTACCTCTGAGGCACCCCATCCACAGCAGGCGTCATTTAACTGATCTCTTTGCTTATTATCTCCATCCATGAAGCGGGCCTCATATAACTAAGCTAGATCAGGAGACAAGAAAGGCAAAGAAGTTCCAGGCATTTTCTGCTACAAAAATGACACTTCAGTCCCAAGGGCTCCTGACACACCTGCAGCTCTCTTCTGGTAAAGGCTGTTTGCCCCTCTCTCCTGCGCACTTCTACCAGCCCAGCTGCCCTCGGGACTTTGCACCAGCCAGACCGCAAGCCCCGCCCACCTGAGGCTTGATTTGGTGTCAAAGATTCTGCTCTGCTCTTGTGAAGTGACAGGCACAGCAGCTTGACCATTACAAGCCCATTTTACAAATAAGGGGAATGGGGACTGGGAAGGTCCCATTTGAGACACGTGGCAGTGAGGGGCCGAGGGGCCGCTGCAGTCCAGGCTGTCTGGTCGGAGAACCCGCTCATAGCCCCAAACCACAGATTGGAATGTAGGAGAAATCACAATTCTGCCTAACTGGTTCACACCCTTTCGTAGGCAATTATTTTTCAAACCTCAGAATTCCAGGGATCAGGATTCTCAAGACAATTCTAATACCTCATAATTGTATTATTTGCAATGATAATGTTATAAAGGTGTAACAGAGTTAATGTATATGTCTTTCTTGAAACACTTCAGAGAAATAAATTCTCAAGTCAGAAAAAAAAAAAGCTTTGGCAGACCAGGCACTCTGATGTGCTCTTTCGGCCAATAGGGTCACTGTAATGGACCCTATGTGACCGAGGGTGCTGTCTGCGAGCTCAGAGATGCAGACACAGGGATGGGGGTCCCAGAGCATGTGGATTCAAAGTCCCAAGCAGTTCACCTTTGATAAGCTACCTTACATCTCCCTGAAGTTCCAGATGCTTTGCTTGCTGCACATTTCTTCCAAATTCACACCAAACCACTCAACCTTAGGTCTTGTGTACGTAAGGCGCACGTGGGTTGCAGGGACTATTATCAGTCCTTGCTCTTCCTTGCTGATGCCCTCGCCCTTCTCGGGAAAATTGTGCAAACTAGAGTGATGCTATCCAGGCCCCTCGCCGATCCATTTATTGCCTTCTTCCCCAGAGACAAAGACTAATTAAGTCACATAGGATGGTCCTAGCAGGAATGAAGGTTAACATATCAAATATTTACTCAGGCCTCTGCATGCATGATTTAAATGAACCCCCATAACTGCAACAAGTGGCCCCATCTTACAGAGAAGGAACCTGCAGCTCAGAGACTGAAGCACTTGACCCCAAGGTCAGCCATCTAGAAGGCGGCAGAGCTGGGGTTGAAGGCCAGCGCCATGAGCAGGTGAGGGGAAGGGTGGGAGATCTGAAAGTAGAGCAGGGCAGTAGGAGGGCAGGAGGAGCCCTCGTCCAGGTGCAGGGGCTGGTGGTTTTCTCTGAAACATGCAGGGGGTTACAGGAGAGTGAGGCTGCGCCAGGGGCCAGGAACAGGGTTTGGACACCCACACTCACCTGCTTGCTGGCGCTGCTTGACACAGTGCCCGTGGTTGGGGATGCCCTTGGCCCTGTCACCCGGTAACACAATGTGGCACTCGTAGCCTGTGGGACAGAGGAGTGGCTCCACGCCGTCTGCTGTGGTGCTGCAGGGCTCTACTGTGGGAAGGACACAGTCCGGGTCTCAGGGGCGCCCTCCTTGAGACATGCGTGCACATTAGCCAGAGGGGCAACCTCTCATTTGTGCCCCCCCACTCCGGGCTGTGCCTTGGGTCTCACTCAGTGTCGTATGTGCCCATGCATGTATGCTCATACATGAGCATGCACAGAGCAGTCCAAAGTTATGTGATTCCAAACATGCCCTTTCATGAATAGCATCGTGCATACATATGTGTTCACTCACGCGCCCTGAAACACATATTCATGTGTACAGTCACTTATGTACACACATTCACACACAAAATTCCTGACACACACACAGGCTCACACATATATTTTCACGACCCCACAACTCCTAACACACACATATATATACACTACACATACAGCCACCCACACACAGGTTCACATGTGCACAAATCCTTCACACATACACATTCACACTTACAGTTCCACACACATGAACACAGTTGCACAAATATTCAGATATACATGGCCACACAGTTTCTTGCACAGCTGCACATAGTCTCACACACAGAAGTATGCAGAATCACAAGCACGGCTACACATACGCAAGTGTATGCACTTGAACCCTTACAGCTCTCAAGGCCCCGGGCTGGCACGTGGTACCTTTCAGGGACTGATCTCCTCCCACCCGGAGGAGGAGGTCTCCTCATCAGGAAGCAGCAAACCCCTTATTACAATTTTAGGAATCTAACCCGGCCCAGGCCCCCTCCCTCTCAATTCTCTACCAGGAAGGAGTCCCCCTTCCCAGGGACAGTCAAGCCCCACCATCGCCCTTCTCCATTGGGGTGCGGGAAGACCCAAGAGGTCTGAGTGCTTGGGGACAGTCAGCCAGCTGGAGCAGGAGTAGCCCCGTTATTGGTATTCCGGTGGCAGCCCGAGAAGGAGGGATCCTGGCCCTGGCGCCAGGTCTGGGCTTATCCTGTGGGTACCTTGAGACACCTCCTTAGGGCCATCCAGGAGCCAGCCATTGCCACCAAGCCACAGGGGTTTCGGCTCCACCAGCCAATCTACAACTAACAAAATAATACATGGTTAAAGTGAGGCCCTCCTCAGGGGTCTGAGAAGTGCCCCAGCCCCAGCCTCTGGGAATGGGAGAGCCCACATTTCATGGCAAAACACAGAGTCTCCCTGGGGGAGAAACACCTCATTCCCCAGCATACATTTGCCCTTTCTTTTAGTAATAGACCTTTGAGTTCTGACTGGCCACTGGGTGGCCAAGCTGGAGACTACATTTCCCAGCCTCACTTGTAACTAGGTGTGTCCATGTGACTGAGTTCTGGCTAATGGTATGTGAGCAGAAGTGATGATGTAACTTCTGGACTTGTTTTTGCATTGATGCTGGTTTTCTCTTCTCACGTGTGCACTCTCTCTCCCTCTTCCAGGCTGGGAACCACTCTGACCATGTTGAGGGACAGGATGGAGGGAACCCAGGTCCCTGCACGACTGTGGATCAGAGCCACCTGGCTGCCATGGACCATCTTCCTACGTCTGGCCTATTAACTGAGGGAGAAATAAATGCTCAGTAGCTTGGATGTCTGGGTTTATGGGTCGTTTTGTCACAGGAGCACAGCTTGTTCTATAACCAATACATTTTTAACCAGAAGAGTGACCCACTCAGTAGACTGAAAGGTCTTCAAAAACCCAAAGCAGGGGTTGAAAGCCCGAATGCCCCCAGAGGTGGACAGGTAACCGGAAGGAGAAAAACGGGCCAGGCAGGACCAACAGGTATGGCAAACCTCAGGGTGTTTCTGCCCCGGATGCTCAGCTGCTGGTCCGCTCTGGCCAGCCATTCCTGCTGTGTCCAGAGCGGACTTGCGTTATAAACTATAAATCTGTATTTTAACAAATATAAATATTCTAGTTTTTACACGTTGGCAACAAATTTAAAAATTTTAAACACTTCGGAGATCAACTAAAACTGGTCTAAAATTACAGCCGTTTGCAGCCCCTGCTCTAGTCTGAATCAGAAAGGGGCAACAATAAAGAGGTGCGCGTGCTGTCGGGCTCTTTGAAAGAACAGGACGCACATCGGGGGAAGTGCTGGTCAGCTTTTTCTTCAAAAGAACGCGAGATGATGGCTCACAGAGTGGGGATCGAAACAACAGAGGAACGAGTCAACAGTTTCCAGTTTCCAGACCAGAGGGATGACATGACGAGATTCCGCAGCCACTGTTATTCATCTTCTGGGTTTTCCTTCCTTCCCACACACGATAAAAAATGTTTTCAGTAGCAAGTGTATCAGTGCTCCTTGTATTCTTTGCATCGGTCAAAGGCTTCTGAGCGGCAGGGAGCTGTACGAATTTTGCTCTACTTTTTGGAATCCTGAAACTTGGTGAAGGCCTCCTATCAATTTGCAGACTCTTAAAGGCCTAGAAGCCCGTGATCTCACCTCTCTTTCCTTCCCTAGAACTTCCTGGGATCTTCTGCTAAACCAACTCCCCACACCCGCCTCCTTATGTCAAGATTTGCTTCTGACAATAGTCTTTGTGCCTGGTGGGAATGCAGCAGCGTGTGTGAGCCTCTTAGAACAGGGCCTGGTATATTTCAAACCCTCTGGTTCTCACCTCGAAGCAGTTTTGTCCTCCGTGGAACATTTAGCAAAGTCTAGAGATATTTTTGGTTGCCACAGTGCAGGGTGTGGGAAGTACTGGCAACACGTGAGTAGAGGCCAGGAAGGCTGTTAAACACCCTAGGGTGCCTGGGTCGGCCCCCCCACCCCACCACCACCTCAATTAGAATTACTATCCGCAAATGCCAAGAGTGCCGGGGGTGAGAAACCTTGTGTTAAATATTATTAATACAGTTGTTATTATAACTAATGGCTCTTCCTGCTGGCCAGTGAAATCTAGTCATTATTTTACAAATCATTGATTCATTGAATTGCTTTCAGGGGTCTAGAGACTGTTTTACGTGGTGGGGATACAGGAGTGAATGAAATAGACCAAATTCTCCTTATGGGGCTGACCTTCAAGGGTGGGAAGCAGTCCTCAAACAAATAAAACAATATTCCAGACTGGGCTGCAAAGAAAACTTAGGCAGGGCAAGGGGGTAAGGAATGGCTGGAGGAGGGACTGCCATTTTGAGAGGGAGCTCTTCCCTGAGGAAGTGACCACCTGTGGACAAAGACCGGAAGGAGATGAGGAAGTGGGCTGTGCGGGTGTCTGGGGGAAGGAGGTTTAGGCAGTGAGGGACCCCACATATGGGCCCAGGTGCTGGAGCTCGGACCCACATCCCTGCACTTGGGGCCTAAGGAAGACTGGATGGAAACTCTAACTCTGTCTGCTGTGTAATGCTGGGCAAGTGACACAGCTTCTCTGAGCTTCAATGTCGAACTGTCAAATAGGGCTGATAACAGTCTCTTCACCCACTGGACTGTGTGAGCAGAAAACGAGGTGATATGTGGAAAGGCCACTGGGAATGTCATGGACGGTTGCATAGCTCGTACACAGCTCAAAAGCCTCTGGCCTAGGCGGTGAGTGAGGCTAGAGTTCCCGAGCCCTGTGGCAGGCAGTCCAGAGGAAGGGGCCACTTTCTCACTTGCACCCTGGAGGGAAACACCGTTATGCATTTCCTCCACCAGGAGGGGGCAGTGTGCTGTCTTTCAGGGCCTTGTAGGAGTCTCTGGGCAGGGAATACCCGCCCAGTCTCTGAACAAGAGACAGAGCTCAAAGGCACGAGAGACTGTAATTATGAACAGCATTAAGGGTGCTGAGTCCCCTGTCATCGCTGTGACCTCACTCCAAAGAAAACAAAGTGTGGCCGCTCTTACTTTGGCCTCAGAAGGAGGGGTTGCGGCCACATTTGCAGAGCTACCCTGGTGATTAAGGCCCTTGGAAACCTCAGGTATGGTCCACACAGGCTGTTATTGTCTAAGGCTCAGCCCGGGCAGAACTGAGGAGGAGGAAACTTTGCTGCCCTTATCCGAACTACTGAGGGACACTTTTGCTCCACCCAGAAGGAGGTAGCTGTCCAGCCCCCGCCCCCGCCCAGCCCTGCACCACGCAGTGCTCCCCAAGGACTCCTTTCCGTCCCTTCCTAAACTCCTCTCCAGAGGGATCTAAACTTTCTCCTTTCAAAGATGAATCCCTGAGAACTGTTTCTCCCAAAGGGATTCGCATTCAGATTACACATGTGATTATCTGCCCCCAGCCCAGACGGGGCCTTAGCACTTCCGTATGCTCAGACTCGCGTGAGCTGCACATTCTCATTACAGTCGTTTTACAGGTGGGGGACCTAAGGAGGTGACCAGCTAGATGGCAGATTTGAACCCAGCAGTCTGCGGCCCCCTGCCTCTCTGGGCACCCCCTGTCTGGACTGAGAAGGTCCCAGGTTTCCATCTCAAATGCCCCCAGGGCCAGGTGTCACACGTGAAGGAAACCTGGTGGGGTCGGTGGAGAACCGGGGAGCACGGCTGCCATCAAGGGGCACGTGTGGCTCCAGCAGAAGGTGGCCCAGGGAACACCATCCAATATTTTAAGAACAGCCAGAAATCTGGGTTTTTATGAGACATCTCCCTCATCTTCACAAGAGGGGAGTGCACTTTTTCTAGACTAGAGTTCTCTGAGGACAGTGGCCTTGAGTACATCCAACGGGACGCTTGCTCAATGAGCCAAAATTTTCCATTTCACAGGTGGACCGGTCCAGGTGGCCCAATGTTAAGCCCATCTGCGTTTCTTCCAGCTGTACCTCCTTTGGGCAGTGCAGGCCACTTCACCGGGGTCTAGCCACTCTCGGGTCCAGCCACGCTCGCCACCGCCCCATTGCCCTGGCCCCTGCAGTGCCTACCTGGCGGGGGCGGCACCACCTCCAGGCAGGTGTAGGCGCAGCCATTGTAGCAGCAGCGTTGGTCCACCGAGCACTCTAAGTCGGCCCGGCAGCGCGCCACCTGACAGGCCCCAGGGGGCAGCGAGCGCGGGGGCGGCGGGCAGCTGTCCTCGGCCGACTGCCCCGGCCCTTCCTCTTCCTGGGCCTGCGGAGAGAGGGCAGCGTCAATGGCGCCCCCCAGAGGCCACAGCCCGCGGGACCCGCGCTGGGTGCCAGCGCTGCTTGCAGCTTTGAAAGGAGGGCAAGTTGCTGGGTCTCTGAGCCTTCCAGTAAATGCAACAGAAGCAGCCTCAGCCGGCTGCTCCGAGGATCAACAGATGTTTCTCTTTGCGATGGCCCCCAACTTAAATGACTGCAAGCCCATCGACAGCAAAAATAATAAACGAAACGTGAACGGTTTTTGTGTTAAGCGTATATCCTGATATATACACATACATATCACAAATGTTTTATACATATATAACAGGCTATAGATGTGTGCCTGTATGTATATATAATGTGCATGTGTGCATACACATGTATTTCTATATATATATAAATCTTATAATCCATACGGAAGCTTTGAGAATTTACAAATCATACATAGAATGGATAAATTTGCACAACTTGGATAAATCTCACAAACACAATATTGAGCAAAACCTCCCCCCACAGCTCACAAGAGAACACACAGTCTGTTTATATTTTTAGTTCAAAAAGAGGCAAAACTGTTGTCTGGTGAGAGAAGCGAGAACAGTGGCCACTTGGGGGTGTGACTGGGAGGGGTGGGGGGTCTCTGGGGGCTGGCCCTCTTCTGCTTCTTGCTGATTCACTTTGTGCAGATTCATGGAGCTCTACACACAATTTTTTGAGCTTTTGATATTATGTTTCCAAAAAAGTTAATGAGACACAGCACTTAACATACAGAACATACAGGCACATGACCAATAACATAAGCATGTCAGAGGGGAGACTGGGAGAGTGTGTCACAGCAGGCAACCCCCTCCAGGTCCCTCTGACACCAAATCGCACCTATGCCGGGAACAGTGTTCTGCTTCTGGATCTGAAAGTGGGGTGTGTGGGGGGCGGGTCTCACACAACCCTGTGCGTGCACACACAGGCACACACACAGTTGGGTATAGAACAGACCCTTTGGGAAGAAACACCCCGGCTTGCCCTGCCTCCTGGCCTACAGCTAAACAGCTCCTGCTATCTAAGTTCCTGTTTACAACAAAAGAAAAAAGCAAACAAAATATAACCAGAGACATTGAAATTAAGAACAATCTAACAACAGCCAGAAGGGAGGGGGGAGGGGACAGTGGGGAAAAGGGTTTTCAGGAACTACTGTAAAGGACACATGGACAAAACCAAGGGTGAGAGTGGAAGCAAGGGAGGGAGGTGGGTTTGGCTGGGGTGGGGAGAAAATGCAGACAACTGTAATTGAACAACAATAAAGTAATTTATGGAAAATGAATAAATAAATAAATTCCTATCTACAACCCCTGTCCCCCCTACACTCATTTCAAATAAATAATGCCAGTCTGCAGACTGGAGTAGTATGTAGCCATCAAAACTTGCCCTGAAACTGCTGATGAAAGATCACCAAGATACTGAGGTTTGTGAAGAAATTAAGGTAAAGAACAATTTGTTTGCTATGCACCGAACTACATTTTCAAATATACATATACACATATATAATACGGATATATTTGTATGGGTCTAGGATATTTTTTGGAAGCAGATATGAGAACACAAGAAACTATATGAGAATGCACAATCCTTGCTTTTGGAGGCAAGAATTAGGTGTGAAAAAAAGGAATTAGGTTGTCAAGCCAAGGGAGGTTTCTCCTCATTGTTCACTATTTTGTTTTATATACATAACTATCACAAAAGATACTCATGTGTATGTGTGTATTGTATATACACACATACATATATAAAGTGTGTGTGTATACACAATATATATGTTTTTGCCATTCACACTTTTTTCAATTTCAAGAAGACAAATATTTTTTAAAGCTGCAGAAGTACTTACAAAGAATTTGTAATGACAGGAAAAGCACATGATATGTTAGGGAAAAAAAGGAAAAGGCAAGATACAAAATGGCATATGCCATCTATTCTTAACTATAAAGAGGGAAGTTCAAGAATGCTTGAACACCCTTCCCGAGCAGCTATTGCGGTGGCTGCAAACTCCGTGCGCTGCTCCCAAAGCCCTGTAGAGGGCGTGAGATCACCGAGAATAGGTCCCCAGCGGGCGCCTCTCAGAACTGGTGCAATCCCTAGGACTTTGGGTTTTAAAACTTCCTCCAAGGGACCGCCCCATCCTCCAGCAAGGGATCAGAGGGAGGGCAAGAGAGGAAAGAAAGCTATGAGCAAGTAGGGAGGAGAACAGTCTAGGCGGGGTGGGTCTCCTGGCCCCCACCCCAGCTTCATGCAGAAAACTTATTTTTTCTCCCTTCCATAGGCCGTTTAATTTGTGAAAAGTACAAACGAACACAAATCCATCATTTGCAGATAAGAAAAGGAAAGTTTCCAGAGCTTGGTGGTTCTTCCCCCAAACAAGGGGCAGATGGGAGCACAGAATTTCAGAGCCCTGGTTCAGCCTGTTCACTGTCCCCTGATCCGTCTGGTCTCCCTGACTCCAAGTGCCGCCATGAATAACTCCCAAACTGCAAGCAGAGGACATAATCCTACATCATTAGCTCCTGTTCATTTTCTTCAGAATTAACGACATTGGACTCACGTTGGGGCCCCAGCGTTTCAGTCCTGATTGAATGTGGCAGCTGCCCTGGCCTCCTTCGGAGGGTGATGGGAATGCCCGTGCGTGGTCGGGAGAAGGTGGCTGGCTTTTCCGCCTGGCCTGCTTGTACACCAAGCCTCGTTTATGAAATTTAACGAAACCTGGAGATCAGAAGTGAAAGGCTTTTCACCCTCTTCCGAAGCCTCCGTGCAGTGAGTGCCTAATGGCACCCCGACAGGACGCGTGTAGAGAGACTGATTGTAGGTGTGCCGCTGCTCCCCCGGGAGAGGAGAGTTCATTGTTTCTCAGAATTGGAAAAGAACAAAAGCGACAAGCGCCTTGGAAGTCAAATCTCCCTGAGTTACTTAGCTGGTGCCCTGGCAGCGGTAGGTGGTAGCCGGTGATGAAGCACTGCTTTCCCTGAGGGGCACAGATGAAAGCGTGGAAGGTTTCAGAAAACAGTCCGAGTCCTGCAAGGTGGTATGCAAAGAAGGTCCTAAACGAAGGATGTGTCCTGGAGTTCCGAGCAAGAATGGACTTTTTAAAAAGATTTTATTTCCTTATATTTAGAGAGAGGAGAAAGGAGGGAGAAAGAGAGGGAAAGAAACATTGATGCACCTGAGAGAAATATCGACTGGCTGCCTCTTAGACACGCCCACCAGGGACCAAACCCAAAACCCAGGCGTGAGCCCTGACTGGGAGTCCAACCAGTGACTTTTTGCTCTGTGGGACAACACCCAACCACCTGAGCCACACTGGTCAGGGTGAAAGAATGGACTTTTGTCAAAGAAACAAGTAGATCACCCTGGATGGCTTCCCAGACCATGGGGGAGGGTGGGTGTCCAAGGGTTAAAGGCCAAAATCCTTGGCCTGCAGATCAAATCTGAGCTGCCCCAACCCCTCCATGTCTGTCCTCCCTCCCACCACTCTCCCCCTTGCTCATTGCTGTCCAGTGTTCTGGCCTCGCTGAGGTCCCTGGGACACGATAAGACTAGTCCCACAGCTGGGCTTTGCAGGGCTGTGTCTCTCATCCAGATACCCTCATGGTTCAGGCCTTTATCTTCAAACGCCTGGTTACCGTGGGAACACCGTGTTTGACAGACTCGTCAGTTTCAAGTTTTTCATCCCCTACAACATGCTGTCTTTAGGCCCTTGGTTTTGTCCCCACCGTGTCCTGGGCACCGACACTCTCTGCAGCCCTAGCCAGCCCACGCCTCCACCGCCATTCAGTCAAAAAGAAAATAAGAACAGATCAAATCCCTCTGAGAATGAGGCAGCTCACTCCAGTCTGACAACACCCTTCACGAAAAACCCCGAGCAACCCATGACTTTCATCTGCTATTCCCACACCTGCTCAGGGCTTGTAGGGCAGCTCTGTTTCCAGGCAGCTGCTGGACATTCACCTACGGCGCTGCTCAGACAGGAGCTTCCCAGCGCTGCGCGCCTTGCTTGGACAAAAATGACCCTCTCAAGGTTATGTATCGGCCTGGTGGCTGTTCTCTGCTCCTTGGGGAGAGAGCCTTGGAGGTCTCTGTAGATTTGCAAAGCCCTTCTGCTGCTATTAGGTGAGCAGGTTAGGAAAGTGTCAGTTCTGGCCCCTTCGGTAGGAAGCCCAATTCTGCTAGTCCGAGTCTGATTCCACTGAAGCAAACAGCCTGATGTCTAACCGAAGGAAGCCGGGCTAATAAATAACAGCACACCTGTAGCCTGGAACACCATAGGAGCTTTCGAAAAGGGGACACATATTCACCATATATTGCTCCATGAAAAACATAAGGTATAAAACAGTAAGAATAAACCAGACACAATTCCACATACTGTATGACTCCACTTACATGCAATGTTCTGACTAGACACATCTGAAGAGACAGAAAGCAGAGGAGTGGTGACCAGGGGCTGGGGGGTGGGGGGTGGGGAGCGATTGCTTCATGGGTCTGGGGTTTCCTCTGGGATGCGAGAAGTGTCTTGGAACTCGATAGAGGTGGTGGTTGTGCAATACTGGGAAAGCACTAAATGCCACTGAATTGTTCACTCTAAAATGGCTATGTGAATTTTATCTTAATAAAAAAATTCTTTAGACAATACGAATAAAATTTCAAGAAAAAACACTGTGTGTGTGGAAAAAAGTGTGGGGATGCTTCATAAATACATCTAGGCAGACATACCCCAAAATGTCAACAGAGCTATGTCTTCGAGGAAGAATTTAAATTATTTTTCCTTACTTATAACAGTCTGTCTGAATTTCTTTTACAATAAACATCATTTTCATAATCAGGAAAACAATTGAAGCAGTTTCCATTTAAGGAGAAAGAATCCAATCTCCAGACCTCTCTCAGTGTACCCAAGTCTCTCCCTCAGCCCTCCCCACCCCATTCATCCTGCTAGCAAAACTTTCCCCGTCTTTGGAATGTTCCAGCAACTTAACAATCAGACCAATAAAAGTGGACCCCAGGATTTGTTTGCTCAGTGCAGGAAGAAAGCCAATTTTCCTCTAAGCATTAATCGCTCTTCCTTCGGAATTTGGACGTCAAAGCTCTAAAAATATGTCTCTCCCAAGAGCAGAGGACACAGAGGTCAGTGTGCATTGATGAATGCCATTTCCTGATGCCCTGGGACCTCACACTGGGCTCTGAGGGCAGAATTTGGTGCACGGCTAATGGGACTTCCTCTGAGAGGAGCTCAAAACTGGGGTCTCACACTGGTGACAGCCCCGCAGCAGTGCAAGCCGGGAGCAGGGCTGCAGACCACCAATTCTTTGACTGGGGTCCAATGAGCACAGCTATGCTCCTGGAAGTCTTCTAGAATTTCTGGTCCCTTCTACCCAGTTCTGGAAGGTTTTATTCACTCATTTAATGGGGAAAGCATAGTTCCCAGGCTGACTACGTGCCAGGCACTGGGCTGGGTACAAGGAGAGCTGAGCTGAACCAGATGACATCGTCGTTGCCTTCACGTGCCTCGGCTCCTTGACAAGTGACAGACACCAAACATCACACAGATAAAGCAAAGTAATTTTTTTGTCATCTGCAAAAGTAGCTCATGAAAAACTAAAACCACAGTAAAGAAACAAATCATGGAGATAATGATAATGGAGTTAAATGCTATGAAGGAGAAGTGAGGATGTTATGAAAACGTTTAAGCGAAATCTAAACGTGAACCGGCACTGCAAGGACCAAGGTGGAGCTGTTGGGACTCAGGAAATGAGGAGATTGGAGGGGACGTGTGTTTAGCTCCAGGCCATCGCCTCTCCCACTCTTGCAACCTCACACAAAATAAAAGAGAGGCACTTGAGCGCACAGAAATAACAAGGGCGGCGGAGGAACGCCAGTTTTGCATGGGCTGCCAGCTCCTGCAGGCTGTCGTGCTCACCAAAAGACTCAGCTCTGGGCGGACTACATGCGTGAGCAGGACGTTCCCTGTGATCCTGGCTGCTGCAGCTCTTCACTGTCCCCTCTGCTGGGCAGGCACCTCCGGGTAGCGTGCAAACTGCACAGACACTTCCCGTGGCCCTGGATGGGAGCTTAGAGGGCAAAACAGACCCACGGCCACAGCAACGTGCCGGGATCGTTGGGCCATGCGGCCCCCAGGCTGACATGGCAGTGGCAATGGGCCCCATCTGGCAGATGTGCTGAGAGGGTGCTGAGAGGGTCCTGAGAGGGTCCTGAGAGCTCTTGGCCTGGTGCACAGGATCTGCTCAGGGAAGACTTGTTCTTGTGAGTTTCACTGAATGCCAGGAAAGAGAAGACCCAAACTCCAGCTCCCCACAACTGACCCTGAGCTCCCAGGGAAGGTCACTGGGCTATTTACAAACATTCGCTTCTGTCTTATCTAGCCTCGTAAATATTTGGTTCTGCTTTTTGCTTTGTTTTAAACAGTGCAGATGTGGAGAGGGTGGCTCTCTGCCAGGCACGGAGCTGCAGGCTCTCCATGGGCTTCTCACCGGACTGCAGAGCAGTCGCTGCAATGCTGCAGATGAGGAAACTGAGGCTCAGAGAGGAGAAGCCTTCTCATTACAAGCCTCCCATAGGGGTCCCGTGGGAACTGAAGGCAGTGTTGTGCTCTCTGGCACTGTCTCTGAGTCCCCGGGCTGTAACGTACGGGCATTCAGGGAGTTCCTCAGGGCCTGCTGCCCACTCTGCCGAGGGGCGGGGCTTTGGGAAAGAGGACGGCCAAGGGGTGGTCACTGTTGACCACCAGCTCTCAGGTACTGCCTTTGCCAGTGTTCGTGGGCTGAAGCTCCCACTGTGGCTGGTTTCCAGCTACCAACGGGAGGGTGCAGAATAAGGAGATGCAGTAGCTCCTCAATAACTACTATTTCCACCACCCAGACACCACCAACATAAGTAATCTTGAGAGAAGAGTGAAATAAGTACGGAGTAAAACAGTTCTAATGAGTAATTCCTTTTTAAAATTTGAATCACATTTACATATTTATATGATTTAATTTTACTGAGGGCTCCATTTAACTTTCTGAGTGGGTCCTCTCCGGCTTCAGCGAGTTACTGGACCCCTGGCCTCACCCCACCCTGACTTGCCCCACAACCCTCAAGGGCCCAGGGCTCTGACTCAGCTTGGGGTGGGGGCTGTGGGTGCCACATGAGAAAGTCCCGTCTTTGAGGGTGTAGGGCCCGCTTCCTAGGACTCCTAGATTCCCTGCTGAACATTCGCAGGGAAGTTAGAGTCAGAACTGAAAGGGCCCTGGAAGCCATTTGGTCCTCTGCCTTCACTTCCCAGGTAACAACCCGAGGCCCAGAGAGGGTGGCAAGTAGCCCAAGGATGCACAGCTCCTCAGAGATGCTGCTGAGATGAATTCTTGGGCCCTGGCCCCCTGCTCGGCCTCCTTATCCTCTGAGCCACAAGTCAGCAGCCTGTCTTTCCCCAGGGTCTTTCTCTGAGGCAGGTTCTTGGCACAAATCCCTCCTGGTCTCAGCACTGGGAGGGACACCGATGCTGTCAATAACCAGGAAGAGTTCCAGCCCAGCGAGGGGCACACTGGAAGTACTTGCATTTGACAGAGGGTGGCTAGGAACAATTCAGCTTCTGAAGCCCACCCAGGCCTGTGTTTTTAAAGAGACTGCCCCCATCCCCTGTGCTCATTGTCCCCAGCTGCCACCCCCAGCCTCGACATTCCTCCCAGTGAGATGTTGCAGTGTCTGCTCCTGTGACACCTGACACCCTGGGACAAGGTAGACTTAAGACCAGATGATGTGTTGGAAATCTCTTCATGGTCCCAAGTGCTAAATGCCTGGGAGGACAAAATCGTCCTGTTGGGCCAGCAAAGAGAATGGGGCAGTCAAACCCGAGAAGGCCTCTCCCCCACCTTGCACACACAAGTCCTCTCCTGTAGTGAGCACAGCCCCCCCGCCCCAGGGGCTCCGAGATGCACCGTTTCTGCCTCCACTCCTTAGTCCACATGGAGTTCCAGGAAGAAGTTCCAGGAATGCCATTCTGGCTAGGGTCTCTCCTCCTCCAGGAAGCCTTCTGTGACTATACCATCTCACATGAGCTCTCCCTGCTCTAAACACCCTTCCATTGTTTTACTCACTACTACTCTTTTCCACTTTCAATGGCCTCCTGCCTGACCTGTACAATGTGAGCCCTGGAGAATGACATTAGCCTCAGTGCAGTTTCATGCACTCCGCCATGCCTGTGTTCATTAAACAGCCCCTCTTCCATGTCTCTATCTGGCAAACTCCTATTCATCCTCCAAAGCCCCAGGTTAAATGCCTCCAACCCTGGAAAACTCTCCCTGACTCCCCCAGGGCAGAGCAGCACAGGTTCTTCTGTGCTTCCATTGCATTTGCCCATAATTTCCTCACAACAATGCACTGGATGCCAACTTAATGACAGGTACCTGGCAAGGCACCAGGAACACTGTGCTAAATGAGACAGAATCAGGCTGTTCCCTGAGGAATCTCTGTTCCACCTGGGGAGGCAAGCATCCCGACTTCACAATTACTTAATTAAGCATCATCCAGATGCACTGACCACTTGCCATGCACTAAGAACCTCATGCATATGGTCATTTAATGCCCACACATGTGCAGAGAGTGCTGGTGTTATCTCCTTGACCCTTCTATGCCTCCGTGCTCCTGGGGCAGGGGCACGGTCCTCCCTACTCCTGCCCTCTCCTCCAGGCCCCTTCCTGCTTTATTTTTCTTGTCAGTACTTGTCACCAAACACACTAGGTTTTCCTTTTATTTCTCACTTGTTCTCTGCCTCTCCGACCATGACGTGAATTCCTGAAGACAGGGATCTGACGTCTGTGTCCCCACAGACAGTGCCTGGTAAACAGTGGCGATCAAACACACTTATTGAAGGAAACATATCATTCTGTGGTTTTCAAATGAGCAGATGAGGTCACTGGCACTTCAAGAGGCCAAACGCCTGGCCTGACATCCCATAGCTTGTGCGCAGCAGAGCCAGAGCTCAAACTAGGCATCCGGTGGCAGGCACTGGCTGACAGAGGCCAGCCCTTTGCACTGCCCTCACCTATCGCCTGGCTGCCTCTCCCGCTCCACTGTGCCCCCCTCCGGGGTGGGAGCTGGTGTCTCCATCTTGTACCCTCTGGACCCGCCACAGTGCCTGGCCCAGAACAGTGCCCCGTAAAAGCTTACTGAATAAGAAAGGAACTGCATGAATGCATAGTTACATTTCAGAAACCTTGGGTTATTGACTGTTGAGACAAAGCACTCAGTTCTGAGTCCAAGACTCAAGTGCTCTTTTGTCAGAAGAAAGTACACTCTGGGAGGCAAAAGCACTTCCCAGTCCCCTTGCACATGTTTGGTGTTCTCTTTGCTTCTCTGCTTGCAGACAAGGAGTCCTTCGAAGGCATGAGTTCTAGCTGCGCACCACCCGACTTTGACACTCACAGATAAAGAAAGACACCCGCCCCTGCCTGTAAGTGGGGGTTGCTTACAGAACGTACAGTATCCAGGGACAGCTCATCTTTTCCCACCCTCCCCAGCACAGCACTCACGGCACTTACGTGGGACTTCTTAGGCAGCCTTGAATGCAATGCCCGTTTCCAGATATTCTTGGCAGAAGTAGCTTCAAGGAGAAGCGGCAGAAAGCACAGAATCCAGATGACCTTCCTTCTGCTGCTGCCCATCCTGCAGCTGGTAGAAGGGGTTTCTTCCCAGATGTTCAGACAAGAAGGGCCCTCTCCCCAGGTGGGTCCTGTGAAGGGGGAGCAGAAGTGTGCATACTCTGCTAGCCTGTCTTAGCTCCGTTCAACAGGGTCCCTTGGATCATGTGTCCATGCCCAGCACACACCCCCACCTCCAACCCCACCCTCAGGGGTGGCCGGCCCCCCTGGCTATTTTTAGTTTGCCCTATTAACATCTGGCCCCAGAGATTCCAACCAGGCAGTGGTCAGCTGGTCGGCAGCAGGAGGAGGCACCTCCGGCTTGCTTGGAGACGTGGCTGGGAGCGGTCCTGTCACACTGGGATAATGAGCACTTCCTTGCTTGCAGGCTGGGGCGGTCTGTTCCAGAGGAGGTATGCTGGCTGCACAGCTGGGAGGGCTGCGGTGGGTGGGGGTGGGCACACAGGGGAACCAGCCCAGTAGGATGGGTGGGGATTCCAGCTGCTGCCTCATCCAAATTTCAAGCTGGGCTGACAAACTCTGTCTGCCCACAAAAGCTTCTTAAGAAGACACTGCTGAATGGGGGCTGGCTGAGCATGTGGCCTTGGGGAGAGGACTCGCCCCCTCCAAACCTGGGGCCCTCCTCTCTGATTTGGGCACATGGACAGCTCCTCACGTGGACATGTGTGTTTCTTGGGAGAGTTCAACAAAACTGTGTGTGTGAAGTGTTTCACGTATATCATCAGTGTTCTATAATGTTAATGTGTGTGTGTTTTACACAGAGATCAGTATTTCACAAACTTCATAGTCCATCACCTGTTCACAGCAACCCCAAGACAGTACTGTTTTGATGCCCGGTTCCCAGGTGGGGAGACAGAGGAACACCGGCATGGGGTCAGGCAGCTGGTAGCAGAGCTGATGCTCAACCCCACACCTGCCCGACCGCTGTGACACACCACCAGGGGAAGTGAAAGGGACCCAGGCTCTAGACTTAGAGGCAGCTGGGCCAAGTCCCAGCTCAGCTTCTGTCTGTGTGACGCTGGGAAATTCTCGTTTGCTGCCGCCCCTCGGCTCTTTCATCTGGGACACCAAGTCTGTGTTCATCTGTTACAGTGGCTGCAGGAAGCTCATCCACCATGCAGTGGGATGTTGGCTCTGCAAGGTCAAGTATCTGAGCCTTCTCCAGGGCCCACCCGCATCAGCACTACGTGCTGGCTAGATGCACGAAGTCTCCATTCACACTTCCCTCAGTACATGGCACAGGGCTTGGCATACAGTAGGTGCTCAATAAATGCTCTTCAATTGAGATATCAGCTCTGAAGTAGTATTTGGACCACAGGGACCCCGGGTGTCCAGCAGTGACCCATCAGCTAATTTCTTGCCAACACTAACTTACAAAAATGACCCTTCAAATTCTCGAGGATAGCAAGGTGCCTAGTCCAGGAACACAGCAGCACTGCAAGTTTTATGTAGAAAGAGAAAAAGCTTTGAGAGGAAAGATTGACACAGAACAAGTTGACTCAGGAAAGCAGCTGCATTCCTCTGATCAGGGACAAGCAGGATCTGGTCAGACAGCCAGCCTGGGGACTCCCAGGTGCAGGTCCAGGTGCAGGGCCAGGCGGCAGCCAGCAGATTTCAGGGCCGGCGGCTCCTCTCAGGCTCCTGCCAAGCCTCAGAACTCTATGTTCCAAGTGGCAGAGGCCTTGGTTGTCTGAGCACTGGTGACCTGGACTTGATCCCAAGCTTAGCGGGCTGTCCTCCTGTGAGTGTGGCTCCCTGCGGATCTGTGGGCTGGGTTTCCTCGGGGAAAGCCTTGAAGCTGGCCAGGCCTTTCATCCGCTCCATTCTGAGGGCCTGCTGGTGAGGCCTGTCTGCTGGGCTCTGACAGCTGCCACCTGCCTAAGGCTTCCCGCCATCTGAAAAGGGAGGAAAACATAAAGGGCACAAGCATTTAGGGGCCTCATTCTGTGGAGCAGAGCACATGGCTCCCAGTCACAGGCTCTCAGGATAAATCTGCTGCTCCACTCCTGATGAAACTCCCCCACCTGATCGCAAAGGCTTTGCACTCCTTCCTCAGGGAGACAAAACAGTTTCTTCCATGGTGTGCTCTAGGAAAGGGGACAGTGTGGCATTGACTCACACTTCACACTAAAGTGTGAATGACTTCCAGCAGAAGGAAACATACAGACAAAAGAAGGGGGAATGGAATTCATTCATTCATTCCAACATTTGAATGCCTACTGTGTGCAAGGCCTGCAGATACCAGAGAGAGTAAAGCCAAGCCCAACCTCTGCATTTATGGGACTTCAAATGTGTTTAATAAGCATTAGATGGCTTTTCTTTGTGAGGTTTTTTTTGTTGGTGCCAGGAGTAGTTTTGAGTGCTTTAAAAATATTCACTCATCTAACCTATCACAATTCTGTTAGCTAGGCATTCTTACTACCCCTATTTCACTACAGAGAAACTGAATGTCAGAGAAACGAACAACCTGCCCAACTGCATGCAGCTGACAATTGGCAGAGCTGGGATTCAACCCAGACATTCACTTTCAGAGCCTGCGCTCAGAGTCACTGTTACACCATGAGTCCACAGGACAGCTGAGTTCCAGCAAGAACGTACAACCTGGGGATCTGATGCAGTCAGAGGGGCCATACCTGAGAGCAGAAAGCCAAAGCTGGGGTGGGAATGGGTTTTCGATTCCGGCAGACCAGGGTAGATTGCTCCGCTGTGGGGGAGTGAGACGGGGCAGGCCGCCGACCCTGCTGTGGGCCGCGCTGGGTGGCTCAGTGGCTCCGTGGCGCCACAGTCCAGACCAGGCCGCTTCTTCTCCAGGCCCTCGGCACTGTTGCCTGTCTGGACACCCTCCTCTCCTACAAAATAGTAAAAATATTTTTAAATGCACTATTGATCTTTTTTATCAATGTTCACTGATAAAAAAGATAAAAGTAGTACTGAGGAAGGGTAGTAAGAAGCTAGGAAAATTCCATGGCAAGTAGAACAAGGAAACTGAGATCGATGGCTGAACAAATTGGTCAAGCAATTTATCCCCGCATGCAGAAGAAGCCCTGGGTGCCTAGCAACAAGCAAAACTGGCTGGATCTGAGCCCCAGGGTGGCTGTTCCTCCGCAGGCTGTCAATGGCCAAGCGATGGTAAGCAGTTCAGAACACCCTGACCTTTCCTCCCCAGAGATAACATCTAAGCCTCAGTTGTATTTCAGCTGCAGGCCCAGAAAAGCAGCAAAACCAGGCCAGCTGCTGATGACCCCCTGCCCTGGACAGACCCATCATTGGACATCCTGGCCCTGAACGGGCACACCCGGAGAACTGATGAATAGTCTATTTAAATCTCCCCTAAGACCTTTCTTAAACTCCCGGCCTTTAAAAACCCTCAAAACACAGGACCCAGCAGGTGCTCTCCCTCCCTTTCCCCCCTCCCCCTCCCCTTCCCCCACAGGTGAGCATCTCCGAAACTCTAAGGGACCCCACCAGCCTTGCAACCAGGGAGCGATGGGCAGCGGCAGCTCATCCCGGGCTACCACCCTGAACCCACCCTCGAGACCCGCTTTCTCTGCCTCTCCAGGGAGCTGACAGCAGCTGCCCTGGTTCACAGGGTTCCCACCACGTTTCCAGAGCGCCAGAGCAGCCTGCCCAGTCTCTCTCCCGGGCTTCTCCCATCCTGGGCCCATCCCTGTTCGCTGTCCTCAGCTTTAATTAAACATCCTCTCAAAATTACCTGGATTCTACCCAGTGATTCCACTGCTGGGAATACACCCTAAGATCCCAAAACACCAATTCAAAAGAACTTACTTCCGCACCCTGATTCTTATGGAGGCATCATTCACAACGGCCAAGTGTTGGAAACAGCCTACGTGCCCATCAGTAGCTGAATGGATTAAAAAACTGTGGTTTATCTACACAGTGGAATACTACACAGCAGAAAGAAAGAGGAAGGAGTCCCTACATTTCGTGACAGCATGGATGGAGCTGGAGACTATTACACTGAGTGAAAGAAGCCAGGCGGTGAAAGGCAAATACCGTATGATCTCACCTATAAGAGGAATCTAATGAACAAAATAAACTAATGAGCAAATCAGAACCAGAGACATGGAAACAGGGAACAGCAGACTAACAGTGACCAGAGGGAGTGGGGAGGGAGCTAATGATGGAAAGAAGGGGAAGGGGGTAGTCAAAGAACATGCGTGAATGACCCATGGACATGGACAATGGTGTGCAGATGGACCGTGGGAGTGGGGGTGGGCAGGACGGAGAAGGGCAAAGGGGGAAAAACTGGGATAATTGTAACAGAATAAATAAGAATACAATTTTAAAAACTTTAAACAAATAAAAAATTAAAAGTAAAAGCCAAAAGAAAATCAGCTTGACTCATGTTGTAAGATCTTTCCTGTGTGAAATCAAGAATCCATACACTGCTGGCCCACCCTAGACAGACCGGCTAAGGGCCAGGTCCCCCTTCTGGTAACAATACAAGCTGGATTATGTTTTTTTCTTCTGATTTTAAGGGAAATTAAAACACTTTCCTCGGCCTCTGAGAGTCCTGTGGGCTCTGGCAGCGTGCCTCTGTGCCTGAGGGGGAAGACAGCCCAGGCCCCCAGATGGTGGGGAGCCTCAGGCAAGCCTTTGCTCTGGAGCCAGGAAGCAGGGCGGGTGGGGGCGGGGGGCGGGGTCGGGGGTGGCACGGAACAGACAGGCCTGCTGGGCCCCTGGGAGGGGCTGTTCTCTGCAGTTCCCACCTCCCTGTATACTCTGCAAGAGGAGGGTAGGGCTGTGGGTGGAAAAGGCCCTGGAGTTGCACAATCAGCTCCCAGAACCTCGGAGCCCAGCTCCGCTCCAGGCTGTGAATGAAAGCAGATGTGCCCTGGGCCGCCTTATTCCTGGAGAGCCAGACCCTGACCTCAGTTCACCCCGCAGTCCTATCACCAGCCTCCTCTCCGAGTGGTGTCTGCCCTGCCCTCCCCCCACCCCCTTAACTCACAGTTGCTGTCCTCCCAGCCAGGGAACTCTCAGCTTCTCTCTCTGACTCCAGCTCCAACGCCCGTGAGCCCGCTGGCCTCCTCCTGCCCCGACCAGTCTACGCCAAATTCCTGGGAAACTGACCTCTCAGCTCTGGCCAATGTGACCTCCCACGGGCCAAAAGGTCAGGTTTGAAGGTGACCTGGTTCTCTGCCCCCTTCTCCTAGCCGAGGCCCCAACCTGTCAGCAGACTCAGTCCTTCCAGCAGCCGAGCCAGGCCTTTCCTGGGCTTCTCTGGCTTTTTTCCTCTCCAGGACTTGGACTCCCCCCAAAGCAGGTTTTGGCTAGTCCACTTGCTTTTATTTTTTCTCCCAAAGCAGATCTGATTGTGAGCCACCGCCCGCCGCCACCCGACCCCGGCTCTGTCCCACCTCCCAAGCTGAACACCTTGCCTTGGCTGTGTCGAGACAAAGGTAAAAATGCACGACCTACAGTCCACTTCATACAGTCACTTCAGTCAACGGGGCTGCGAGGTTAGCATTGTCTGCAGGAGTTTCGACAGCACCCACACGGACCAGAACACCCACACGGACTGGAGAACCTACACTGGGGGGCCAGGGTGCTGACCGTTAGTGTCACCAACACAACTCCAGCAGTCTGGTTCTGCACCCACCATAGTTAGAGACCTGCCATCCAAATAGCAGGCGGTGAGCAAATGGGGTGACATGCGACCCTCTGGTGGGCTCGGGCAAGAGTGCATCAAAGTCTCCGTCGTATTCTCGGTTTGTATCACATCCGAATAGGGGCATAAAAAATTAAAGGGGCTGAATATATAAAGAATTCTTGCAACTCAGCCACAAGAAGACAAACGACCCAATTTCAAAATGGGCAAAGGACTTGAGTAGGCATTTCTCCAAAGAAGATATACGGATGCCAATAAAGTGTGTGAAAAGATTCTCCACATCACCTTTGACAGAGGAACGCAAATTAAAGCCTCAGGGAGAAAGCACCTTCCACCCACGAGGGTGGCTGGAACTAAAACACAAACAAACAGGAAATAACAAGGCTTGGCAAGGATGTGGAAAAACTGACCCCTGCACACCACTGGTGGGAATGTAAAATGGGGTGTCCTCTGCGGAAAACAGCCGGGCATTTCCTCAGAAATGTAAACATAGAATCACCACGCGACCCAGCAATTCCACTGCTAGGTGTGTGCCTGAAATGGCTGAAAACAGGACTTCCAACAAAACCTTGTAAACAGCCGTTCACAGCAGCACTGTTTACAAAGCCCAAAAGTTGAAATACCCAGATGTCTGCCCAAAGATGAATGAATCAACAGGTGCTTATAGAGCCATGTGATACAGAAGGAGTGAAGCCGTAAGAAGGAGTGAAGAACTAATTGATGCCGTAACACGGATGAACCTCGGGAACAGGAGAGGTGAGGGCAGTCGGACACACCCCAAACGTCCAGAGCGGGCACAGCCGCAGAGGCGGGAAGCAGAGGAGAGCTTTTGGAGGGCTGAGGGAGTGTGGGTGGGGGGGTGACCCAATGGGTGTGGGGTTTCCTTTGGGGGATGAGAATGTTCTGGAACGGGGCAGTGGTGGTGGTTGCACCAGACTGCAAATGTACTAAATGCCACTGAAGTGAACATTTTAAAATGGTTCATTTTTAAATGTGAATTTTGCCTCAATGAAGTAGGAAAAACTAAAAGGACCAGGTGAGGAGAAACCGATTCGAGTTTTGACCGCCGAGACACCTGCAGAGCTGTTTCTTTGGGCAGATGGCTCGACCCTCTGCTTCCTGACCGCTCCCTCCTTCCCTTCTGCCTTCGTGGTCCTGATGACGGCTCAAGGTCAACCTCATCGCGGTCAAGGCCGGACAATCAAGGAGAGGCTGACAAGGGCTCCACAAAACCTGAGCCAGGCAAACCCATCCAAGATGTGGTTTGCCAAGAACGTCATTTTTTTTTTTTGAAAGAACAAAAACAAAACTCTAACTCCCAAAAATGGGGATGTGAGAACATTCCCCTCTGCCGATGTCTGGCCTGGCCTGGGAGGTGAGCTGGAGGTTTCACAATCTTTCCTCAGAGGAATGTCTGAACTTACCAGGGAAGTAAGTGTTTCCCACGTTCCTCCCCGTCTTGTGATTTGCTGGAGCACTCGCCAGTGCAGAAGGCCCTGTGATGGGTGTGGGGGTGGGGGTGGTGAGGGTCCGGGGCCCTGGCAGCGGTTCTGGTACCCAGTGGGACCCAGATAAAAGTCAAGAGATATCCTCTCTGTCACAAAGGGGGATGGTCCAGGGGGCAAGGGTAGGGGGTTTGGGGGTGTGGAGACAAACCAAAAGAATAGGTAAATTGTGCTAAATGCAGTAAGGACACAAAAATCTGAGAAAGTGATTATGGGAAACCCCCTTTAGAGAGAGCACTGAGGAGCTGTGACCAGAGGATGACAACTAAACTCAGAGAAGAGGAGCCCCGCAAGTCGAGGGGGAGGGTGCGGTGGGAAGAATCTCCCAGGCAGGGCCACTGACTCTGCCACCAATCCCGCTGGATTGGAAAGTCATCAGGGTCTTAGAGGGTAGAGAGAAGGCTCTTACCATATCCAGAGAAGACATGAAGATTTGGAATAAAGGGTGGTGAGAACAGGATTTCAAGGAGTGATCACCTAGTGATGGGGGTGGCTGACTCCCCTGTAAGCCCTCTCCCAATGATTAGCCTAAGCCAATGATGTATTCCCACCCCCTTCACTGGGGATTGGTTCAAAAATGAGTCTGTCATCTGATCTGGACCAGTGAAGCATGAGGGGCAGTCAGGTGAGGTGCTTCTGGGAAAGTGGTCCTCACACCTGGGAGACATGCTGAAAAGTGATGGTTCCTCTGCACATCAGGATATGATGCCAGGGTCTGCAGCAGCCATTTTGTCACCATGAGGAGAGTCAGTTGAAGAGTGAAGCCCACACTGCAATGGCAGCATGGAAAATAAAACCTGAATCTTGCCGTGGCTGATGTGGCCCAGTGGATTGACTGCCAGCCTGCGAACCAAAGTTTCATGGGTTCGATTCCCAGTCAGGGCACTTGCCTGGGTTGTGGGCTAGGTCTCCAGTAGGGGGTGCACAAGAGGCAACCACACATTGATGTTTCTCTCCCTCTCTTCCCCTCTCTTTTCCCCCTCTGCCTAAAATAAATAAATAAAATCTTTAAAAAAAACTGAGTCTTTGGTGACATTGCTGAGCTACTAAATTTAGTCCATTTGGGAGCCATCCTACCTCTGGGCTTCTTGTTCCAGAGGACAGCTAATCTTCCTTAGGGTTAAGCCACTTCAACTGAGCCTTTTGTTACTGACCGCCAAACACATCCTGACTGATACACAACAACTTAGAGTACCACCTGGCTAGGGAGCACCTATGAAACCAGAAGCTAAAGGAAAATGATGGTGGAGGAGACTCAGATTTCCCAAGCATCTGTAGATGCCATATTTTGCATGACAGGCATTTTGCATAGGCTTCTCCCGAGGCCTCAGACCAGCCCTTGCAGGCAGCTACTACAATATCACTCCACCTAACAGAAGTGCAAACCGAGGTTGAGAGGTGAAGACATTTGCCTGACCCCAAACGACGGGGCTGGGATGTGAACCCGGGTCTGCAGTGGCACTTAGCCAGCCTGCTTCCCCGGGGCAGCGATGGCGCTGCTTGGCCAGGGGGGCAGTCTCAGCCGAGTGGAGCCATCATTCTCTGTGAATATCCATCATCGCCTAAGAGCTGAGGATGCCGATCTGCCCAATGGCCAGCAGCCTCCCAGAGCCAACAGCCCACCCAAGAGAGACGGGGAGCCTGACTGGGCTCCATCGGACTGCGGGGAAACTGTGGTCAAAACCCACAGGGTGATTTCACTGGAGCCCTTCCCTCTTCTTCCCCGGCCGACGATGATTCCCACAGCCATCTGGTCGAGAGCAGCACACTCTGCGCTTCCTGCTGCCCTTCCTGGCAGGGTCCTCGGAGAGCACTTCACCTTGGCAAGAGTTGACAAAAGCGGGAGAGAAAGAATCCGAGACCTTTACTGGGCAATGCCCAGTGCACATAAATCTGTCTCTTGGCAAAAACAAGCTGTCCCGTCATAAATCCCACTGTGACAGGCACATAAATCCAGAAAGTGACTTCTGCCCGCCGGACACGTCGGGCCACAGCCCTGGCTAGCGGGGGACAGCCCACTGCTCAGGCCCACTGTCCTACCCTCCTCTTCATCCATCCCTCAAGAAACAGCCCTCAAGTACTTACTTAACTTTCATTTATTTTTCTTATTACAAAGGCACAGGATTTATATCATTAGAAACAATGACGGATATTTCAAACAGAGGGGATTAAAGCAAGGGACAGCGAGGCGACCCAGAGATTAACAACAGCAAGGAGCAGCTGCCTCAGCCCCAGGATGGTGGGGACAAAGGGAGGGGATGGTGCTTTTCAGGTCCAGGATCTGGGGTCACCCAGAAGACCTTGAACCATAGGAAGGCTGCCTGGTGACACTGGAGCCACACGGGAGACACAGCCACTGCTGGCGGACTGTCCAAGGCACAGAGATGGGGGCAACGCCCTGGCTTCTCCCTTCCTCCTGCTTCCAGCCCCCCATCAGGGGCCCCCACTGGCTGAGCCCCGAGACACAGGAGTTGGGAACCTGCTGCCTGTGGGAGCCGGTCCCTTGGTGGCACCTTCCAGAATGACAGAGGAGGGTGGATCTGGGGCAAACAGACCCGGGACCAGCACAGGTAGTCATTGCAACCCCCACCCCCCCCACACAGTGACTTCTCCATTTTCTCCCTTTCCTTCCTCCTCTTTCCTTCTACCCAGATCAAAAGCTGCTAGAACCCAAAGCAATGGCAGAAAAGTTTCCATTCATTTGTAAGCTCACTGAGCACCTACTATGCACCGGGCATTATGCTAGGCCCTGTGGAACAGGGAGCTTGCATTCTGGTGGGGGGAGGGGGGAATGCCACCCCACAAACGACAAACAAATGAAAGAACAAGATACTCCCAGAGTGGTGGTGTACGAAGAAAATAAAACTGTGATGAGCAGTGAGGACGAGCTGTGTAGGGGGCTGTGCAGGGACGCTCTCTCTGAGCAGATGACAAGACTGGAGTGATGACAAGCAATCACTTGTGCAGAGAGAGGAGGTCAAGGCATATTCTAGGCAGGGAGTGCAGCAGGCGCAAAGGCCCTGAGGTGAACCCAGCTTGGCTTGTTGCAAGTAACATGTGAGAAACAAAAAAGA